TCTTCCCCAAACCCCAAAAACTTTAACCTTAGACTGTCTACTACTGACCTCACCCTTTTCCTAAGAGGTCTGTAGGGGGCGTGCATAAGCGCACCAACGTGCCTACCGTCCCTGTCCTATTGTTTCTTTTGTTTCTTTTATTTATTTTTTCTTATATGTATCCATGTATTCATAACTATGATTTTATTAATAACTATTATCTTGTAAGCAATTGACAAACGAAAAAAAGAAAGAAAGAAAGAAAGAAAGAAAGAAAGAAAGAAAGAAAGAAAGAAAGAAAGAAAGAAAGAAAGAAAGAAAGAAAGAAAGTTAGTTAGTTAGTTGAGGGCTACCTGTTTGATATTTTAGGGGCGGGGGGAGAGACACATTCCTAAAATTCACACTCAGATTGAATAAGAAGTCTCCATTCCCTTAGTTTAGATTGTCACCCAATACAATACACCCAATACAATACAATGTTGTTCAAGCAACAACCTAATCCATGTATATCAATGAAACCTCAATCATCCAGGCCAAGGTGTTTAAAGGTTGAATCATGGCAACTGGACCAAACTTTATTAAACTTGAGATGTTTCATTGCTCATCCTAGCAACTTCATCAGTCAGAGCAAAATTCACTTGGCAGAAAGTCAGCGAGTTGTTGGATCCATGTATGTACTATCCAGCTAAGCCAAACATGCCAAGTTATTAATGCAAGGAAGAAAATAATAATTCTCTATGGCCTTTCATACCTGCACACATACCTTCATATGCTTGAGAAGAGAGAGCTTCAGAGCCTGTGACAAAAAGGGCTACACTTTAATTCAGGAAGGGGCTTTGCTGGATGACAGAGGGGGAAAATGGACACTTTGGACCCTCAGGAAAAAGGAAGAAGGTTAGAGAGGGGAGAGGAGTCCGTAATGGATGCCATTCCCTATGGAAATCTAGGTCAGCATTTGGCTCTACAGAAAACTATCCAGTTATCTGAGACAAAGTCATCTGGTGAAAAATAGCAGCAGATTCAAAAATATATATTTGCAGTAGCTGAAAAACAACCTACAGAATGAAAGCAAATACTGTAGTAGGTTGATTTTGCCTAAACAGACTGTGGGTGGTTTGCCAAGATTCCAGGTGTGTTTGGAGATGCAAGTCACTCAGGTACTCTACTCAGGGTTGTCTTCTACATAGAAAATGTGTGCAATGCAACGGCCACTGAACAGTGCTTAGATACAAAGGCTAGTTAAAAATGATGTCTTCTATGGAGCACTGCAACTTTCACCCCATCATCTGCCATGAGCCTCCTCTATGTTACACCCTGACAAAATTTGTGGGACAAGTCTTAGGGAAGGAACTTTTGCTGGAGGTGTGAACCTTGTGCCCCCATCCTTATAAAAAAGCCACAGGTAGTGTGAGCTGATGAGCAGAGCAAGTCACACATAGCCATGCTATGGAAGGATGAATGGACAAAATGGAAGGTCTTTATTTGCACTCTACGATCCCAGGTGGCCCTCGGGGCAAGTGGCTAGAGAAACGTGCAAAGTATACTTAAACAACAAGTGAAAAATGGCAGCAATTTGAAAAACCATGTGGAAGCTAATGGCAGCCAATTCACTCATCCCTCTCTTCGAAATTCCTTCTCTTGGGAGAAAAGACCACTTGGAGCCAGCTGAGAGACCCTCAAGCAGAAGACCGCTGATATCCCCTCCTCCCTTAGCCAGATCAGGCTGTCCAACCGTAGGAGCACGGTGGGCTCTGGAGAACATTTGGAATTTGGGAAACGTTTGGCATTGTTTAGCAAATTGCTGGATTAGCTCCCACAAGATCATCAATAGCATACCTACAGAAGTAAGGTCTCCTAACCGGGCGGATGGCCTTTCAGGATGATCTGGAAATGAGCAGTTATACCAGGTGGAAGAACCACATTCTCTCTTTAGGTCATATTCTAGCCATCTTGAAATGACTTTTTGCCATTCACATTGCATAACTGCAGTCCCCCTTAAAAGAAACACGGATGATATAAGCGGTCTCACTGTAAGGGCCAAATACAGTGACGCATTACTCTTTCAAGGATCCAACATTTCAATAAATACTACTCTCCTGTCTCCTTATCTATGGAGCCATGAAATAAAGGTAATGGGAAATACTTTAATTTTAAAAAAAACAAAAAACCCTTCTGAGTCAAACTGAAAGCCCAAATTCCCATTTAGAAAACTAAGCCTTTGAAAATGATGTATCCCCCTGGAACAGTGAGAAGAAGACGACTCATCTTGGTTCTTCTCTCAGCTCTCCAGCTTTAACTATTAAAACAAAATGGCCCCACTAGAAGAGAATATTTGGAGCTCAGGGTTGAACTTTGGGGTCCTTGGTGCTCTGAGCTGGTGGTTTTCTTGCAGATATTTCGTAGCCCAACTATGTAATATCATCGGCACCAAACAATCAAACTCAGAGAGCATCAAGGATTTCACCAAAAAATAGACTTCTAAGTTCTGCATTATTTTCTTGCCACTGTTGCAGTGTGAAGGAATGCAAAATTAAGCAAAGGTGGTGTCTTAATTGGAACTGCTGGGTGAGGATGTGTCGCCTCTCTGCTGTTGTTACCTAGCTTTTATTTCTAATCAACAAAATGCAAGGAAAAATGACATAATTATTCTACCAATGGTGAACCTGCAAGATCTGGTTTTCCATTCTTTAAAAATCCAACAAAGTTGTTTTCTTGTTCCCAACTTCAATGTCCAATGTCACCCTAGACAATATTCTTTTGTTTTGTTTCCACAACCCCCCCCCCCCAAATATCTAGGTTTCAAAATGGGAAATAAGCTTGTAGGGCAGAAAGGGGGAGGTTCAGATATCGTATTTTCTGTGGATGCTAAAGGAGAGTCCTTTATTCTTTTGCATTTGGAAGTAGCGTGTAGATTTACCTCAACATTCAATTCAATCCTCTCCTCCCTTCTCTTTATTGAGACTATCAAGGATTTAATCTAGAGAAACATGTTTCCCCAAAAGCAAGTGTTCTAAACAAAACAAAACAAAAAACAATTTAGCCAACTATCATTAGAATTGTAAAGATATAAAAAGGCTGCTATTCCTTCGCGGGCCTGTTACACAGCCATCTATAAATACCTATGGTCCTTTGCTGTGTGCAGGAGATATTCAGCTGCTGAGTTATATATCATATAGACAGTTGGCAATGGAATGGAAAAGTCCCAGATTTTGCACACAAAGAGCTGGACTTAAATTTATACTCTTGTATTTATTTAAGCCCTACATCCCAGGAGATAATAGATATGGTGGACTGAGCTGAAGCCACATTGTGAGTATTTGGAAACCTCAGGCATGCATTTTTGCAAAGGCATGTTGCCTTGTATCATTCACAATGAAATAACTATCAAATAGTAGGGGACATAACTAACACCAAGAGGAGTTCCTTAGTGTTTTCTGTAACCAGACTGGGATTTAAAATAAATCTCTAAAGCTTTAGATGTATTCTAATTCAGAAACCAAGCAAATGGCAATTCACAAGTGAGGAGTTATTCAGTCTGAGCAGCCAATTCAGAGTTGCATGCAAAATGCTATGAGGGTGATTATTTGTCAGCTCTGAAAAACAACAACCCCGTAGTATGTTTGCTTCAGCAGTTTAAAAAGAAGAAAAAGGAGAGAAATCCTACTTTTATTGTGGGCACAGTCCAACGTTTCAGCCTCTGTCTTTCTTAAACAAACAAACAAAAATCTAATACTTATAGTGTCCTAATGTTACCACTCTCAACTTCCTCAAGATGCTAAAATGGTGACCTCTGGACCAACATGGTTGTGTGATCTGGGAGCCTTGTTGTTCCAACCCTGTTGTGTAAGGCAGGCTAGGGTGGCCAAATAGTCTTTGAGTTTTAGCTCCACACAAAAGCTAAAGGATACTGGATGGGACAAAACTTTTTTGCCAATTCCAGCAACTCTTGAGAGGCCCTGGTTGGTATGGAGGAAACTCAGGGAATTAGCTGTGTTCCTGCCATTTGGAATGATTTGTGAAGGCTACACTTCTCTCTCGTCTTCTACAATTCCAACTACTCTTGCTCAACTGACCTTCTCAGAGGCTGCCTTCACTTTTACGAACTTAAAAATGAACGCAGACTGCTATAGATACGTCCATTCTGAAACTAGATTGACATGGAAATGTTACACGTCCACATACGCAAACCTCCATAGCTCTGCTCTAGAGCTTATGTGATCAAGGTAGAATGTTGGAATTTGAGTGGCACACTGGGATGGTCAAAGACCCATTATTGTTGAAATTACCAAGATGCCCATTGCAAATTTGTTGGCAAGGTCAATTTTTGAGAATTCCTCTTGCTCTGCAAATATTTTAAATTTGTAAAGCTTCAAGTAGGGTTTTTAATAATAAGTGCGCGTGTGGGAGCTGCTGTGCTCCAAACAGAGTTGAAAATGGAAGTGATAAAGAGATTGCTACATGATCCTTTTTGGTTTCATTTGATTAAATTTATTTTAAAGCTTTATTTTCAGGGAAATGTTAAGCCTGTGTTCAGACTTGCACCATTTCTCATGGGGAAAAAATTGTCCCACATATCATAAAATAGCATATTTGTGAGAAGGCTGGGCTAGAATCTTTATGTTCCTTTTTTTTAAGCCTAATTTTTTTTTTAATACATATAGATGTTCCATTTCATGTCCCCTCCTTCTGGCAATGTAACATGAACCTGAATTTACCACTGAAAATTCATTGTTTTCATTGGGACAGTAACTTCAACAAACGGGCAGCCACCAGGAAAATCAAAATGGGAACACACTTTCACAGAATGAAGAAGGGTAGAATTCAGGGTTGGATATTAATGGTCTGGTTCTTCTGGAGATCATTTTCACTGGATCAAGGAGAGCATACCCCCCCTTGCTGTTTCTTGCAGTACAACACAGACCCTAATTGCAAACAATTTCCAGACAAATTTCTAGGCTGTTCAATGATCAGAATGGAGAAACGTCACTCCATGAAATATGCAAAAATTAGAGGTTCCTTACCTCCCAATCCAAATAATCACAGACATCTTCAAAATTAGTAAGTAGAGACACTGAGCAGAAAAGCCGTGGCAGTTCATCCCTCGTCATTGGGGGAAATCTGCTATCTTTAAGGGCACTGCGGAGAAAGAACACAATACACACATAAATGAGAGAAAACAGATACCGAAATCAGCAAAGGAGGCAAAACAATATTCTGAATTGTTAACAGATGATTTCTGATCAAAACTGGTCTTCCAAGAACGATTATTATACCTGTATCCTATATTTCTGCCAGTGTTTTGAGCTGCATCTGTGGTCTTCCCTACTTACTAGTCACCCCATTTAATTCTCACAAGAACCTTGTGATGTGCACAGACTGACACGCAAGGGTTGATTTCAGGACACTCTTGGCTCTTTGACTGAATGAGTCTAAATTTGGGTGTTACTGACCTACTCTGAAACTTCACTGATACAAACATCAGACATTTTGCTGTTAAGACAACTCATTACCAAACCTACCTTGAGGAAAGGGGAAATCCATGTTCACAAGCCAGTCAACTTATACTCCCTAGGTAGGAAGTAGACAATTAAAAAGAGGGTTATGCAATAGTTTTCATTGTTGACCAAAACACAAGTCTAGGACGTTTGGAAACTTCTTGATGTAATCCAGGGGTCCACGAAGGCTTGAAAAATGTTATGATTTAAATCTTGAGTTAAGTCTTAGGGGTCCATGGCCATGGTCCGTAGCCTCAACAGGTACTTAAAGCAAGTCCGTGGTGAAGAAATGGTTGAGAACCACAGATGTAATCAATAGGAGTATCTCAAGGATATGTTAGTCATGCACAATGTAATAATTTAATGTAAGAATGAAACATTGTGCTCATTTTTGGAGGTATACAAATTTATTTTGAAGTTCAGCAAGCTGCATATTTTTTAAAAAATGTGTCTACAAAATTGCAGCAGGCAGGGACTTCCGGTTTGTCGGCTTCGCGAGTGGTAGGGATTCGCGAAGCTGTGCGATCTCTGCCGCGCTAGCCGTTTTTGGGGCTCCGATCCGGATGGATACGGAGCTAGGCTGCCCTGCAGGGGCAGCTGAAGGTAGGGGGGATCCGGAGAGGGGTTTGGGGGTGTTGCAGACCCCCTCCCCGGCCGGCAGAACCCCCTTTTCCCAAGTCGGTGCAGCGGCGGTCCGTAATGGCCGCCACAAAGAAGCTGGCAGCCGGGTAAGAATGCGCAGGAGGAAGTGGAGAAAGTGTTTGGAAGGAGAAAGTTTTTCTTGGTTCCTAGGACTCTAAGACATATTTAACAAAATTCCTGAAAAGTATGACTTTCTGAATGATACCTTCTAAAAGAGGAAAAAAGCGGCAGTTTGATGGTGCTGAAAGGAAAGCTTACCCTCTTTTCCTATGGAATAAAAAGTGAATATTAAGAAACCTATTTTTTTTTTTAGGTGAAAACTGGCTTTAAGCGATGAGTGGGAAGAGAGAGGATTAAAAAAAAATATCTGTATGCTAAGACTTTGTTGGAGGAGATGCTTTAAGGATTGAAAGACTAAAATATATTGCAATAAGATTTTAAGAAACAGATTTGGACTTTCTTTTTTTCTGATTGACACTACCCTAGGAGGTGAAAGTGAGAACTCTGCCTTGGTTTGGACTGATTGATAACTTTGGGACTGTTTTATCTTTCCTTTGGAATATTTTGGTTGCTGTAAGAAGAAAGAAGGGGAAAAGAAAAGAAAAGATTTATAATGGCTCTTTCTGTTGAGGAACTGAGAAAAGATTATGAACAAGCAAAAAAAAAAATGGTAAAGCTGGTTTGAAAGAAGCCTTCCTTTTTTTAGAAATGGTGCTTATTAACTATCAACAAACATTACAACAGATGAAGACAGCAGAAGAAGAAGGAGAGGCAGCCATCTTTAATAAATCTCAGAACTTGACCAAGAAAGAAGGAAGAGGGGAAGGAAGAGAAATAAAGGACTTAAGATTTAAAAAAACATTGAAGAAAGGGAAAAATAAGATGCAAAATCAATATAATGATAGTAAACAAAAGGGAAAAGGAATACGACAGAGAAGGGAAGCCAGTAAGGCAGAGGCTAGAAGAAGGGGGGGTAGAAAGGTTTGTTGGGAGAAGAAAGAAAGGGAAAAGGTGGAGAAAAGCTACAAAGTTTTGAAATTAAATGGGAAAAAAGGAATCTTTTTTAGGGATAAAGGATAAAATATAATTTCTTCAAAGAGATTTTGCAAGGTACATAAGATGATATTGTAGTATTGTATTAGAAATAGAAAACTTAAATGGCTTAAGAGTTGATAAGAGATTAAAATGCTGAAATGTTTAATAATGATTGGTTTTAAAATTTAATAATATGAGGGGAGGTTTAGTATTGAGTATTAATTAAAGAGTTTAATAAGATTATGGTATTGATGTTATTATAAAATTTTTATCATAGTATTTGTTTTTAATATTTAGATTTATTGTTTAACTATGTATTTAATTATTTTGGATGTATTATTCAGATAGAATGTACCAAGCAAAATCGGATTGGGTATTGGGTGTTATTTTAAAGATTAACTTGATTAATTTAGTGGGGAGATAGAAAGGCATCATACTCTGATTAGTGATTTCAGGAGAAATTTCTTTTTTTTTATAAGGAATGAGACAAAGGTACAATAAAGAATGGACAAAAGATACAAATATAATGACTCAAATTACGATGATTAATTAAGATAGAATTAAGAAGAGTGAAATATGTGGAGAAGTTAATATAGAAGACTTAGAATGGTAAATAAAATAAGTAATGATATGTAAGATGAGCATGAATACAGTTGAAGTCCATGAAGAGAGAGATACCTGGGTCCAAGTTACTTTCCAAAAAGATTTTTTTTTATGTTTTGTGTGTTGTGGGTATATGTTTTTTTTTTCTGGGGAGAATTAATAAAACCTTGTAGAAATATAGAATGAGAATAATGGTAACTAAGTCAGAAAGAAATAGATGAAATAATAATAATAAAATTGAATAAGAGTAAAGAGAAATAAAGAGAAATTGGATAAGAGGTTTTTGTATGTTTATATGGAAATGGTTTAAAACAGAATTATAGTTTATCTGACTTGTTAAGTTTATAATGGAAAAAGGTTTAAATATGTAATGGATAATGATGACTTGTGTGTTTTGAAAATTAATAAAACTTGTTTTAAAAAAAAAAAAATTGCAGCAGGCAGCTAAAATGTGCACATCATGTAGCTCAGATAAGACAAGCCCTAAAAATGGTCAGTAAGTGAAGAGATTATGAACTTGAGATCATCCTCAAGTGAATTGTATCCCTATTGGAAAAACTAACTTATATACTAAAAATTGAATCCCAGAATTTTGATTATGTAAAAAGTAGAAACAAATGTTAATGCAATCAGTACACGGGGAAATGTTTAAGAAACAGGGAAATATAACATTGTGAGAGTGAAGGAAAGGTAAACAAAGACTAAGAAAATCTGCATTTTCAGTTTATTCTGAGATAGAATTTTCTTTTGAAAAGTGTGACACTGAATACTCAGCCATTTGATGAATGTTTAATACTTGCTGAACATTCACAGAACATTGGTTATCTAGACATGGATTTATTCCATGGTGGAAGTTCAAGAGACGCTATACCAGGTACATCAAATAATTTCTCACTTGCTGATCAATCATGCAAGGATGGCTTAGTGTCTATTGAAAGACAAAGGCCAGTCTTTTGAAGACAGTAAAGTCCACATAGTGGACAGAGGGGACCACTGGTCTGAAAGAGGGGTCAAAGACTCCATGCATGTTAAAATTAAACAGCTCTCTCTCAACGGGGTGGGGTATAATATCACTACTTCCTATCTACAACAGTCCTTTCAGCAGTTCCAAGAAAGTTCCATACCCACTTGCACTATTCAGGTGACTCTAAGGGCACAGATAAACCTCCAAGTGGCCTCAATGACTCTCAGAAAGAATGCTACAGACCAGATGACTGCAAGGAACACAAATGCTTACATCTTCCACCATTCAATCAGAACTGAAGAAGCTTCTTGGATAAGAAGCAAAACATCTTCAAGGAAAAACAAAGTCCGGTTGCCTTCTCAAAAAGCACCTTTGGGACAAAGATAGCTTAACTTCAGCAAGGCTACAACATCTTTCAAGTATAGCTACCTGATGCTATGACCAGTGGCATCCAGTGTATTTTACATTGGACAGTTGATATTTGCCTAAAGCAAAATGATTGACAGATGCCAATAAAGAAGAGTCAAATCTCTAAGATTTTTTTTTTAAATCACAATCAAAATTGGACTTTCAATATGTCTCATGATGAACTCTGAATATCTGCTTCCGTTCTTATTCCTTTCTCAAACTTAAGAAAGCATGAGAAGGATAAATGTTTTCTGCACAGAAATTCTCCCTCACCCCTGGAAGCAAATGAAGTTTTCCAACTGAACCAATTGCTTATTTTAAAATATAGGAGGCCAAATGTATAATGTGATAGAACTGTCTATGACAGAGGATCCAATGTTTTGGAAATTTGATTAATCAGATTCAAAATGACTGGAGAGGCTTGTTTTCCAGTACTTTTTAAATCTTGGATTTCTATAGAACTCCATGCATATTAATAATGGCTACCCATTTGTTCATTGTAAATTTCTTTCTCTTTTCAGTTACCATATATACAATATATACCAAGAATCGATTTGTGGCATTTAAAAAAAATGTGAATAGCTATTACATCCTTACTCGATTTTTCAAAGGTCTACCAAAATTATCCACAGGGAAGAATATTTTCAAAATGTCTTTAGGAACCAAGTCTTGTTTCTTAGTACTTTACAAACATTATTTCCTTTTTTCCTGCTCTCCTTTTATGTATGACTACAAGGTAATATTTTTCAGATTGTGATGTGACCACATGAACCACTGACATTCCTTCTAGCTACCGGTTACACACTGGCTTAACAAAGAGACACCGCACCCTACTTCTAAAAGAATAGCAATTAAAGCAACATTTTTAAGAGCTGTGATGCAAATATCCTTTCTTAAAATAAATGATTATTTGCCTTCTGGGAATCCCCAGTGATTCAGTGCATAAAAGCACTCATGGTGTATGGAATGACAGGAAAAGGCCATGGATA